TACAAGTACAGTCACCCAGGTAATATTGATTAAATGGGGATCCAATGGGGAAACAAGTCACATACAAGGAATTTCCCATTTAGAATATCAATCACTGCTATCTATCTCTAGGGGAAGTAGTGCCTCTTCTTTTTATAATGCTAACCAGTGAATGTGCCTCAATTGTTCTCCCTGTTGGCTCCTGGAGGGCTGGCACCTTGAGGACTGGGGCCCTGAGGGCTGGCACCTTAAGAGGGTCCCTTTCTTTCTTTTTTTTTTTTTGGTTTATGCAACTTTATTGAAGAAAAATAAATCAATTACTAGCAGAGCTATTAGTTGATCATTCATCCATTGACAACTTGCATCATTTACTCAGTGCTATATTTAACAGTGTTTTGGAAGACAGATTAACTAATAGCTCCAAGACTCCTAACAATTTAAATGAAAATTACAAAATGTTTTGAGACCCTATTTTGGAATACAAAGGGTGTTTGAGTTCCAATTTCCATTCTCTGTAGAAAAAGAACAGGTCATTCCTTTATTGACATGCATAAAATACATCACATTTTCTGTTCTGCCGATGCTATAAATTCAATACCAATTCTCCAACCACATCAGTTATGAGCATAAAGTATATCACGTAACCTCAAATCTCTAACAGTGGAAGGCTTAACAAGAATGGATGCTGCTAGAATAATGCTGCTTCCTTGCCGTGACAACCGAGCATCCATCTCCCCCGCTCAGCTGGCTTCTTCAGAGCTGTGAGGAATGGTTTAGTCTCATAACCAAGTTAGAGTGAAGACATTGGCCACATAATACACATGCTCCATTTTTTAAAAAAAATTCTGAATCTTGGGCAACTGTTCTCTTGTAACTACTTTATAGTTTCTAAAAGCAGTTATTGTCCAAAGCTGGAAGAGCTTAAGTCTTCTCAGATGAGCATGTGAATGAATGGAGGGAGGTAAACCAAAAATAAAATTACAAAAGATGAGGTCTGATAGGGGAGCAGCCGGATAAGAAAATCAAAAAAGGAACAGTAATTTAAAGTTTATTCCAGCTATAATGCAGGTTATTCTGATTTTAAGGTAGCATCACATGGCATACTTCTGAGTCCATTCTCGAGATATTCTGTTGTACTTGTCTCTGTTTTATAGATCCGTGCAATCTCAGGCACTAGGGGGTCAATCTGCGTTTGGATCACACACAAGTGAACAAATGGATAAAAGAACTTTAGAAATAGTTAAAGCAGGAGACCACTGTGATCTTAGGATATCGAGACAAATGCTGCCATTACTGTTAATATTTGGATGATAAATTCTCGTCGTAAATGCAACCTCAGGTGGTTTGAAGGGGTAGTCTGTAGGACAATGAATTGTCAAAAAGAATACACCACCTTGATATGGGCTGTCATTAGGTCCCATAATTGTGGCTTGCCAATGGAACATGTCATCCCCAACTGGGCCTGCAGAACATTGTGCTGGAGGGTCACGGGCCAAATCACCAAGTTCCTTATTAATCCGCTTCAGCGCCATGGTCCGTGCTGTCCCGGCCCTCGGCGTCCGCATGTGCTCGGTCCCGCCGCGTCTGGATGGTCCTCGGTTCCCAGCGGCTCAGACACAGCGGCTCAGACACAGCTCTCTTCACCGCGCCGATCCGTCCGCCAACGCTGCGGCGCGAGGGAGCGCAGCTCGGCGGCCCAGTCCCTGGCCGGCTCGGCCCGCGCACCGCCGTCTCCCGCTCGGAACAGCACCTTCGACTACGCCGACCGGAGGTCGCGCCGGGCGGGCGGGGCCCGGGGGCGGGTCATGGGCCGAGGGGGGGCGGCGGCGGAAGCCCGGACTCAGAGAAGCATCGAGAACCGGAAGAAGGTCCCTTTCTAACTACCTACAAGACATCTAACTTACCTACCTACAACAAGGACACTGAGAAGTTGGCTATTTGCAATCCAAGGAGAGTCCCTCACAACACCAACCATGCTGGCACTTTGATATTGGACTTTCCAGACTCTAGAATTGTGAGTAAATCCATTTCTTTTGTTTAAACAAAAAAAGTTAGGCTTCCTAGGGCAGGCATAAATGAATCAACATGGATAGGTTTGCACAAAACATTGACTTTTAGGGGTCTCACTCTCTAATAATCTTGAGAATACTCTTATGTGACAAGAACTCTACACTTTAAAGTGAAGAAGGAATTTGGTCTGTGGAATCCCCGTAATCTCTTTTCATGAACACTTTGCTCTTAAATTATTTGTAAATGTTTCATATTTCATCCCCCAGATTCAGAAAGAGTAAAGTCTATATTCATAAATATCTATTTATTGAGAAACCCAAGTGTTGGACAAAATGGATGCAGGGAGGTCTGTTACTCAAAATGGCATCCGCTTCTCTTAAATGGGTTGTTTCCTCTCCAGGAAGGCAGAACTGAACTTGACACCCCACCCTGCTACTCATCAGCCGATAAGTTTAAACTCCGTCACCTGCCCCAGCAATACAACCAATCCTCAACCACCACGATGCTCTCCCTACCGCCACACAACCCTTTATAAACTTCACCCAGTTAGTTTGTCGCTCTCTCTCTCTCCATAGTTCAACAGCCTGGCAGCTCCTTCCCCCAATAAAGCCCTGCCTCAAGTGCTCCTGTTTTGTTAATCAAGTATTTATCCCATTGTTTGCACTGGAGTTTTTGTATCTTCCAGACAACAACTATATCCCCATTCAAGGACAAACAACATGTGCATCTGAACACACACAAAAAAATGTAAATGTGATCTTTTGAATTATGAGAGGATTTCCTTCTTTATTCCTTTATATTAGAAGCTCTATTAATGAACCTATGTTATGAAGTTTAATTTAACTGAAAACATCAATGTAACCGTTTTAAAGTACATTTGTACCAAAAATTACAAATTATAAACACTATCTGCCTATGGAAATTCAGATTTCAATTTCTCATGACATGAAATGTGAACATGAAATTTTTAGGGAAGTACAAGGTTTTCTCATTTTTCTGCCTCCACATAAATATATTACCCATTGTACATTGAAACGAAAATATAAATCATTCAGGACAGATGGATGAGTTGCGTGGGAATCTTACTTTTTAATCCATTGATAATGATCATTAAAAAGTCATTAAATTTCCTAACATATATATATTATATATATATTTTTTTATTAACACATAAAATGTGCTCCTTCCAGGTGGTTAGAAGAGAGGTTCAGTAGAACTCTTTTTTTTTTTTTTGGTACCAGGGATCGAACTTGGGACCTTGTGCTTGTGAGGCAGGCAGTGGCACCACTGAGCTAAATCCCTGGCCCAGGTAGAACTCTTGAAGACATTGGCACAGGAAAAGATTTCATGAACAAAACCTCAGTTGCGCGTGAAGTAGCACAAAAAATCAACAACTGGGATCTCATCTTATGTAAAAAGCTTCTGTACTGCAAGAGAAACCACCAACAGTGTGAAGAGACAACCCACAATCTGGGAAAAAATTTTTACCAGCTGTTTCTTAGAGAAAGGTCTACTATCTGGAATATATAAAGAACTTAAAAAACATCAGATATCCCAAATTTAAAGACCCAATCCAAAAATGGGCATCTGAAATGAACAGACATTTCTCAGACAAAGAAGTAGAAGCAGAAAATAAACATATGAAGAAAATGTTCAACATTACTGGTCATTCGAGAGATGCAAATGAAAACAACTCTGAGATTCCACCTTACTCAAGAAAGAATGGCTGCTATCAAGGAATCAACCAATAATAAATGCTGGCCGGGCTGTGGGGAAAGAGGAACACTGCTCCACCGCTGGTGGGAGTGTAGACTGGTGCTACCACTGGAAATCAGTATGGAGACACCTCAAAGGATTAGAGGTCCCACTTGACCCAGCTATTCCCCTGCTGAGTATCTTATCTTCCCAAAAGAATTAAAAGCATCATACCACAGCAATATATGTGCACCTGTGTTCATAACAGCACAGTTTGTATGGCTAAAACTTGGAAACAACTCAATTGCCCATCAACTGGAGACTGGATAAAGAAATTATTTTTAATAAAATAGAGCACTACTCAGCCATAAAGAATGAGAAACTAGAGACATTTATAGCTAAATGGATGCACATTGAAGCTATACTATTAAGTGAAATAAATAGAACACACATGTGTAAATACTGAATGATTTCTTTGGTGTGAGAAACTGAAAGTGTAAATAAGGATCAAAAGGTATAATAGATAATGTGAAATAGGAAGAAAAGGGGCAAAGGGGAAGGGGAAGTAGGAGGGGTAGGGGAAAGGACAAAAGGGAAAGGAATAAATATGACAAAAGGGAAAAATGAAAACAAAGTCTTTGTAAACAGGGAGGGGTGGAGGGGTTGAAGGGAGGGCAGGGGAATGGGGAAAAAAATAAGAACCAAGATACATCATGTAAAGGTACAAACTCCCAATGGTGAATGTCAGCATATTGTATACCTAAAATATATCAACAAAATTAATGAAAAAAAATGTGCTGCTTCACCATTTCTTTGGTCATGTAATATTAAGATCTGACTACAGGCTATCTTTTTTCTTTTCTTCTTTCTTTCCTTTTTTTCCAATTGTGAGAAGAGGTGTCAACAAACAGTTACCCCAGTATTACTGAAGTGGTCGAGTATTGCTATGTTCTTGCTGACAGAAATCTAAGTGGAATACTCTAGGTGCTCAATATGAATTACTGGTAAGCCATTTTATATTCACTAGTGATTTTTATATATTTGGGGCTCAGAATGTATTGTCTCTATATTTCTATCTTTGAAAAATATTTTGACAATTACTTAAAATGTTTTTTTTAGGCCTCTATTTGGAGATCTGGGAGAAGATAAATCAGCATGGATAATCAGACTACCTAACTAATCACATAACATGTACTATTTGTTTACACAAAAAATATATGTATTCTGGGTTTGGGATTTAGCTCAGTGGCTCTGCGCCTACCTTGTAAGGACAAGGTCCTGAGTTCAATCCCCCATACTAAAATATATATATATGTATATATTTTATATATATTTATTTATATGTATATTATATATATACATTGCAGAAAAATCCAAAGCCACAAATAATAGTAAGAAATTGCCGGCGGCACCCAGAAAGATTAACATAATAAATTATTGTATGCAGCAGAATATATAGGAACTTAGTTGATAAACATTCTCCTCTCTTAGAGAAACATTCTTCTAGCTTTATTTAAGGAAATGAAGAGAAATTGTTAGCTTTGAGTTACTAGTGGGTGATTCCTATATCTACCTGCTGTGCTTGAAGGACCAATTAATTTCAGTTATGCTTGAGAAAGAAGGTGAGCATGAGGTACACTTTCTTCTTGGAGAGTCTTAGAGGAGTCATTGAAACTTGAGGGAGAAATAGGAGAAAGGGAAGATTTTGCCCTTAAAGTAGTCAGACTCTAAGCTGAGCTTTTAAAACCACATTTAAGTCATTGATCCTATATTGGTCACCTTTCTCATTGCTGGGTCAAAAGGGCCCACATCCACAATTTAAAGAAGGGATTTAATATGGATCATGGTTTCAGAGGTTTAGTCCATGGACATGCTGGACTGGGACAGTCATGACAGAAGGGTGTGGTGGAGCAAAGATGACCCCTTCATGGTGGCCAGGAAGCAAAATACAGAAAAGAGCAGGCAGGAGATATGCCCTTTGGAGGTACATCCATAGTGACCCACATCCAATTGGGCCCTGCCTCCTAATATCATATTCAGATCTGAACATCAGTGGATTATATTCCATTCATCTCTGCAGGAGTCTCTGAATCTAGTCAAATTGAGAATTAAGATTAATTGGCACAGGGGCTGGGGATTTGGTTCAGTGGTGCTGCTGCCCTCCTGACAAGCGCAGTCCCGAGTTTGATCCCCGGTACCAGAAACAAACAAACAAACAAACAAAGATTAATTGGCACAGTTCCTAACCACTATGTGACTTTGGGTCAGTAGCAACCGCTCTAGGCACCAGTTTTCCCATTTATGAAATAAAGAGGTTGGACAAAGGCAAACTTAAAGATGGGGAAAAGGTCACAGAAATAGATCTAATACGTTGTGCCCGCTTACTTAGGAAGATTGGCTTGAGAAAGCACTTTATTTCTATTTTGTCATAGTGATGAGGAGAGGAGAGAGATGAGGATGAAGATGACCTTTAAAAAAGGCTTAGCTAAAAGTCTGATCTCATTTAATACCTTCATTCAGGATCCAACCGTATGCTGTCCAACATGATGGTCTCTAGCTATGTGCTGCTGACCTCTCTACATGTGACTAGTCCAACTAAATTTAGACCTTTACGTATGAAACACACTGTAGATTTTTAAAACTTTGAACAAAGATATAAACTATCTCAACAATTTTACTTATCTTTTTATTTGTTTTTTGGTTTTTTGAGACAGGGTCTCACTGTGTAGCCCAAGCTGGACTTGAACTCACTATGTAGTCCAGGGTGGCCTCAAACTTGTGGCAATCCTCCTGCCTCAGCCTCCCAAGTGTTTGGACTACAGGTGTGTGCCATCACGCCTGGTTCTTTTGTTTGTGTTTTGTTTTTTTAGTTTTTTTGAGACAGGGCCTCCCTATGTAGTTCAGGCTGGCCTTGAACTCATGGTGATCCTCCTATCTCAGCTTTCCTGAGTGTTGGGATTACAGGCCAATGGAACCATGCCTGGCTTTCAACAATTTAAAAATATTCATTAAATGCTGGAACAATAAGCAGATAAGTGGATTAAATGAAAATAGTATTATACATTTATTTTACCTGTTTCTTTAAAAAAATTTTTAATGTGACAAGTAGAAAATTTAAAATGAGATATATGGCTCCCATTCTATTTCTACTGCATAGCAGTGATTTGGGATATGAAATCAGTGGAATATACTTAGGGAAAATGTGTAATCACTAAATTCTACATGGATATGGAAGATTTTCACAATTGTTAAGAATGGTCTGGTGGAACAAGTGTCATCAGAAACCCAGATATTAGTCAGATAAAAGCAGGAAAATAGGAGTGACTAAAATATTTGAAGGTAAGTCATAGCAGCAGGTGTACTAGTTATGGACGAACCTGAGCTTCTACATGACATGGAGCAGTTCAGAGGTGGTCTTGACTATAGAGAAACATTCCAGTCACACTGTTTGTGGTGGTTGATTCTTTTAACTGAGCCCTTCTGCAAACTACCTGCAATTGCAGCAAGGAAGAAGGTAGGGAAGGGGCAGAGGGAAGAAATGGGATGATTTCAAGGCACATTTATAGACTTTATAGATTGACCTTGTCAAAAGGAGAAGTACAACATACTCATGGTGTCAATCAATGATTACACAACTCTGATAAACTAAATAGCAGCTCTTCTTCCTGGAAAGTTTCGCTTACCTCACAGTGATGAATCACTTACTTCCAGAAAATAGTACATTTACTGAAGGCTCAGTTTAGTCCTAGTAATTAAATTCTGTTAGCCACATGGGGTCAGATTTCATGTTAACACGACAGAAGGGAGAACAAAACTCTAAAAGCACACTGAAAATGCCCTTAACACCCAGGCAGGGCTTTTCACAGTCTTTGTCCTCCTAAACTTCAGAACCCCACTTGACAACAATAACTTTCCCCTTAGCATTTTCCTCTGTTTCCTCCTGGTGATGTGGTGTCTGAGGACTTCTGTTATTAGCCCAATTTCTCTCAGGAGCTGTGCAGTATTAGCTGTAGTGGACATCTGGGTAATACTTTATGTAAAGTGCACAGTAGGCTTGCAATTAAGTTGGAGTTATTAGTATTTTTATTGCCTTTGGCTGAAGATTTTCCTTCAGTCAAGGTTTAAAATTAAGTTCCCTTCTATTCATATATTATGGATTACATCTGCTCCTTTAATTTCAAATGTTAATTCTTTTTTTTCTTTTTTTTGGTACCAGCATTGAACTCAGGACCTTGCGCTTGCGAGGCAGGCAGCGGAACCACTGAGCTAAATCCTCGGCCCTCAAATGTTAATTCTTTATTGACAGATGATTGCAGAATGCACATCTATGGAGGCGGAGTATAAGCATTTTCAATATTGTCTAGGCCTGGCAGGCTGGATAACATACACAGAGGCTTATTTCTTCCAAATCTATTTTTCCTGAACCCTGAGGTCAATGCACCTCTTCATTTTTTTTTTTTTTTTGGTACCATGGATCGAACTCGGGACCTTGTGCTTGCAAGGCAGGCAGCAGAACCACTGAGCTAAATCCCCAGCCCCATTCTCTTCATTTTTTGCTAGGTACAGTGTCATAGCTGTGTGCCTAGGCCCTCCCCCTGTCCTTTCAGCTCCACATACTCCAATGTTGGTGAATGAATGCAGGCCAGGATGCTAATAAATCCCAACACCAGGTTGGCATGTCTTAGTCTAAGTGTTCCAGGGGACCATAGGAGTCTGACAACGGGGTCAAGATAACTTCGATTGACACAAATTAAGGAGAGAATGTGTTGACAGGCCTTAGCTGTGGGGCTTTGGGCAGGTCATTCACTTCTTTGTCTTAGCTCTTTAATTTGTAGAAGGAGCATTGTGGACTTTTTCTGCTGACTTCCCAGAGCTAGGCTGATGAGGTTGTAGAAAGGCATCAGTATATGTAGCATTGCAAAGCTTACAACATCTTTATACTTACTCAAATGAAAGGTTCATGGTAAATTTCAATAGCAATGTTAAATTCATGCTGTGTGAGTTAAAGCTTGCCATCCTGACAAGCCTCATGTATTTGTTACTACTTTTGTTCCTGAAATGACTATTTATTGATAGTTTTAATCATCAAAATCTTGTTGGTTTTTAATTTAATAGATGACAAAATTAAAAACCTGTGTTTATTTATTTATTAGGACTAAATATATGAACAATCCATGCTTATTGCAAAAAATTCAACCACAGAGAAAATGAAGATTATTAAAATCAGCCTGAATCCTGTTTACCTAGAAATAATCATTTTTAAAAATTTGGTTAGAATCCTAAAAGATGTGAATTTACCTAATTAGATGAAACTGTAAATATTGACTTATAACCCGCTTTTTAAAAAACTTTTGAGACAATGTCTTGTTAATTGCCCAGTTGCCCAGGCTGGGCTTGAACTTTCCATTCTCCTACCTCAGCCTCTCAGCATGCTGGGATTACAGACGTGTGCTTGAAAAATTCTTTAGTATGCTAGATTTCTTTAGTAGCAACTGTTAATTTAGACTAATCTTTTGTAATGGCCATATTACATTATATTATGGCTTCATGATACCTTACCAATATATATTTCTTTATTCCTTTCACGATGAACATGCATACTATTTTCTAATTTCCACAATTCTGAATAGAACTGTTATGAATGTCAAGTTGTACCAAAACTTACACATTTGCTCGAACACACTCTGAAAGAGAAGCAGGCTCATTTTCCTAGTCAGGCAATTAAGAGGTAGAATAGATGTATTTTGATAATCAGCTTTTCTCTGCAATGTCCCAGTTTCTGGTTGGCAATAGATTAGTGCATTATGATCATTATTTTCCTGAAGGGTAGAAACTTACACTTAATCATTGTGACTAAAAATTAATTTCATGTTATTAGGGATGAGGAGATAAAATAAAGTATCCTTTCCTCAGCTGAAACTATTATAGTTATTCTAATTAAATCACTCTTGATGCATATGATAAAACATGCATTGGCTGCTTATTTCTTTTTAATATAAAAGTT